AACAAGAAGCACACATTTTTGCAAAGATAATTGACCTTTATTTATTATTATTCGAAGAAACAACAACACTTATTGCTTAAAATTCAAAGATACATCAACAGGTTTTATTAAAGTTAAGACTGCTGATGCCACGTAATGGAAAGTCTTGAGAGTTAAGGCAGAGTGAAAGCTGCAAGAAATAAACAATAGCTTCATTAGAGTGCTGAAACAAACACCATATAAGGAGTAAAGATAATGCAAAATGCGAATTGTACCTCCACACTTGTAACCAACAGGGGGATCAGCAATGTTGCAGCGTTTTGGAATGGTCACTGCAATTTCCGGCCTCACTCCTGCATTGTATGCTGTTTGAGAATACAGAACAGCGCAAAGGCAGGCTGGATTCTTCAGCTTTTTCTCCATCACCCTGCAGCAACGCTCGGAAACCGGGGCTTTCCGATGCTGTGCTGCGAATGTACATGGTTCCAACTTCTCAGCCTCCTTCTCGATGTCATGTTTCCCACAGGGACCATAATAATCAGCAGTTCCCTCGACTCCATTGAGTCCTGCAATGGTCATATTCACAAGAAACGCTAGAAAGCAGATGTACTTCACTGGGGTTTCCATTTCCACAAAGCAATTCAGGGACACTTTTGATCTACAACTTGAACTCAAACGAAGATGGTACTCAGCTATTTATACTTAAATGAATAGCGTTTGGTCAGCTGCAATACCTGCTATTGAAAAACATGGATTTTGATATTAAATCATAGGTTTCACTGTATTATATTTCTTTAACAACCTTTTGAAACTGATCCACAGTTTAAGCGCCCATACCAAATAGAATCAAGCAGCGCAAGCTCAGGTCAATAACAATCGAAAGAATGCAGTTTGAAACTCACCCACCATTACCTTATAAATGCATAGCCTACATTGCCTATTCGCCGTTTTTTACTTTATATATATATATATATGTATACATATTTGTGTTTCTTAATTTGTTTCTGTGGGATCTCTCTTTGGGAGTAGTTTCACACCTCCAATGTTCCAATTTCAAGTCTGTACCCGGATAGACAAATTTTTGTTAGGGTAAACTATATCACAAGTCACTTAACTATGCAAAGACGAACTTTATAACAATCTGCCCACTTTGCCAGATACCCTGGTTTCGAACTGAGGACCATAACCGATGGTCTCCCTCTTGATCATCCCAGGTCAGGGTTTTGGTTCCTGGAGATGAATGAAGAGGCCACAGAACTGAAAATCATGCAGAGTTTGAGAGAGATGCTTGTGGATATCATCCCAACGGTGGATTGCATGATCGTAGACTGATTTCTCGCCTTTTCTCTTGATGTTGCATGGGAGCTTGGTATCCCCATCTTTTGTTTTCGAACCAGCAGTCCCTGTTGTTTCTGGACGTTCATCGAACTTCTCGTCAAACAGACACGAAAGAGCGCTAAAGCCAATGCCTTGATACAAAACACAGCAGCGGAGCTCGACGGGCCTATCCTATCCCAAATACGCACCCAATGCCCCAACGTATACGCCATTGGACCTATAAATGCTCAGTTAAAGTCCAGAAATGGAGAATTATACCATCACTTTTCGAATACCCTTTGGGAAGAAGATAAAACCTGCATTTCTGGGCTCAATAAGCAATCGAATCCATCTGTTACATATGCATGTTTTGGTAGCCTGACGAGCATGTCGAGGGAGCAACTTATAGAGCTTTGGTATGGACTTGTTAACAGTAATTCCAAGTTCTTGCTTGTTGTAAGGCCAGATTCCGTGATCGGGAAAGATGAAGGGGAGGATGTTGATGTCGTAAAGGAGCTTTTCGACAAGAGTAAGGACCGAGGTTACATTGTCGATTGGGCATCGCAAGAGGCGGTGTTGAACCACCCGGCCGTCCGTGGTTTCTTGACACATAGTGGATGGAACTCAACTTTAGAGGCCGTCGTCGCTGGGGTGCCTATGATTTGTTGGCCCTACTTTGGTGATCAACAAGTGAATAGTTGGATTGTGAGTGAAGTGTGGAGAATTGGGTTGGATATGAAGGATGTTTGCGATCGGAAGATGGTGGAGAAGATGGTGAACGATGTGATGGTGGATCGGAAGGAGGAGTTTGCGAAATCGGCAGCCGAATTGGCTAAGCTGACCAACCAATCTGTTCGTGTTGGTGGGTCTTCTTATTGTAATTTGGACCGTCTAATTGGATATATTAGAGAAACGAGCTTGAAAACCCCACAAAAGGTGATAGTTTCTTAAGGAAGAACTTCACATCCGACAAGAAAGTTTCCAGTACGAAGATGTTCAACAATCTTGCCCTGCTTGTTGTAATAGAATCGTTTGCAATCGCATGTTTGGTCAAAGAATCTTTCAGACTTTTGTTCTTCTTCGAGTTTTAAAATAACAATGCTATCAATATTTGCAGGCTGACGTTCTGCAGATGCAGTCTTTTGTGTATGTTTAAATTCATCCATGACGAATCTTTTGTGTAAGTGACCTTTTATTTAGTATTATTCAAAGAAACAACAACAGTTCTTGCTAATAATTCAAATATACATCAACAGATTTTATTTAACTTAAAAATGCTGGATGTCACAGCGAATCCAACATGCTTATACTGCTGATACCACGCAATGAGGAGTCTTCAGAGTTAAGGAAGAGTGAAAGCTGCTAGAAATAAACAATAGCTTCATTAGAGTATTAAAACACACAACATACAAGGAGTACAGATAATGCGAATTGTACCTCCACACTGGTAACCAACAGGGCGATCAACAATGTTGCAGCGTTTTGGAGTGGTCACTGTGATTTCCGGCCTCACTCCCGCATTGTATGCTGTTTGAGAAGACAGAACAGCGCAAAGGCAAGCTGGTTCTTCAACTTTTTCTCCATCAAGGTGCAGCAACTCTCGGAAACCGGGACTCTTCAGTGCTGTGTTGCGTATGTACACGGTTCCAACTTCTCAGCCTCCTCGATGTCATGTTTCCCACATGGACCATAATAATAACCAGTTCCCTCGACTCCATTGATCCCTGCAATGGTCATACTCACAAGAAACTCGAGAACGCACATGTACTTCACTGGGGTTTCCATTTCCACAATCCAATAGTGACACTTTTCGATCTACAAGTTGAACTCAAATGAGACGGTACTTGCGCACAACTTGAGCTAAAACGAAGATTGTACTCGGCTATTTATACTGAAATAAAAAAAGTAAAAAGTAGCCAAATGAATATGAATTCCACCAATTACATGGGCATGGAACCAGAGAAAGAGTGTTTGGTCAGCGCAGTACCTACTATTGAAGAAGATGGCTTTTGGGTTAGCTGACCAAATTTATGTCATAGGTTACACCTTGTTTCTCTGTGTTGTCTTTATGAAACTGATCCACAGTTTAAGCGTCCATACGAAGTAGACCCAAGTCAATAACAATCGAAAGAAGAGACAATTTGAAACTGCCCACCCAGAATTACCATTTAAATGCACAGTCTATCAATCGCCTACATTGCCCTTTCGTCGGTTTTTTACTCTTTTATATTAAAAACTGTGTTCTTCAATTTGTTTCTATGTTTTTATATGATGAAGAAGACACCGCATTATAAAAATATGATAATTGAAGTCTTTAATTTTAAATAATATTTTATTGTATTATCCTCTTGAAGGCGTGTCTAATGGAGATAAAGCAGTTCAATTGAAATGTAATTGGATTCGATTTTTAATTAAAGATTAAATTATAAAATTGAAAGTTTAGGGGCTAAAGTGTGAACATTGAAAGTTTTGATGCTAACGTGAAAATAAGGGAGAAATAAAGCATTATTTGTATGGTTAGACCATTGACCGATGATAATGGATTTTGAAGAATAAGCTACTTTAGATGACGAGTATATTTTCTAATATGTGTTTATTTCTTGCTAGAGAAAGAAGGTTTGGTGGGAACCTCTAATTACAGCTCAGATTAAATGAGTGTAATTATGAATATGTGTTTTAATTTTAATTATGTTTTGTGTAATTAGTTTGTGATAGAACGTACTTTGTGAAAGCCGTGATAATTTGGTTATGGATTAAGTTTTGATTTGTAATACTTTAAGTCGAGGTTATCAAATACTCTTAAACTTTACGTGTTTAATTTGTCATTTGAATTCAGTTTTTTATTTAATTTTGAGTTTGTATACAAAAATATTTTTGATATTTTACTATTGAATCGTTGTTTTAACCGATTAATTAACTAATTTAATTGAATTAAAAATTGTATCGGTCTTTAATCTAATTTTAACACTATTAATAATTTATAAAAGGAATTTAATAATTCAAGATAATTATAAGAGTAATATATTTTTAGATTTTTTTTAGTTTATTAAAATGTATATAATTTATAAACGTAATTGTTAAAATCTATTTAAATGAGTTCAATAAATTAAATAATTTTTAGGGTAAAGTACACAAATAGTTTCTGACTGTAAGATATTGTTTTGTTGAGTTTCGATGATTAAAAGATACAAAATGATTATTTGACTATATGATACTGCTTTGTTGAGTCTATTGACTATTAATATTTATAAAATGATTATTTGACTATTCAAATGTTCAAAACTCGTCAATTTTGTTAAAAAAATTGACGATCATATGAGTTGGATGTTAATATGTTGACCGAAATATGATAAAATCTAATCTTAAAATCTCACAATGTCTATCATATCTCAGTGAACATGTTAACGCTTAACTTATATGACCATTAATTTCTTAACAAAAAATAACAAGATTATAATATGAATAATTGAGTTACCATTTTATAATTTTAAATAATTAAAAGACTTAATAAAACGACACTCTATAATAAAAAAATCATTAAGTATCTTTAATAATCGAAAACTCATCAAAATAATATTTTAAAATCAAAACCATTAGTATATTTTATCGTAAATTTTATTTTAACTCGTTTAACACAACCCTATTGAATAATCAATTTTCGATATATCACTGCCAAAACGTTAATGTCCGAGGAGTTGAAACTCATAAGCCAAAAAAGAGAGACAGATGGGTAAGGATCGATCTCCACATGTTCTCGTCTTCCCCATCCCATTACAAGGCCATATAAACTCCATGATTAAGCTAGCTGAACTTCTAGCTCTCGCCGGCTTCAGACTCACGTTCCTCAACTCCGATCTCAACCATAATCGCCTCCTCAAGTTCACAAATTTTGCTACCCACTTCGCAAGATACCCAGGGTTCGAATTCAAGACCATAACCGATGGTCTCCCTCTTGATCATCCCAGATCGGGGAACTGGTTTATGGAGATGTACGAACAGGTCATCGAAACGAAAATGAAGCAAAATTTGAGAGAGATGCTCTTGAACATCAGTCCACCGGTGGATTGCATAATCGGAGATGGGTTTTTAGGGTTTTCTATTGATGTTGCAAAGGAGCTTGGAATCCCCATCATTTGTTTTCGTACCAGCAGTCCCCATGGCTTCTGGGCTTATTATTCTATCCCTGATATAATCCAAGCTGGGGAGCTTCCTATTAAAGGTAAATCAAACTCCTTTTGAATATCAATTTTTGTTATTGAAGCAATTAATGAGAATGGCATTGGAATAGACCTCTAACTGGGTGAGATTGACTGGTTTTGGAGAGGGATTGGTGTTAATCTGAATCGGATTACTTCGGGTGTTAAAATTTTCAGTTCATTCAGGTTTTCGGGTCATTTTTGTGTTTGAGTTGTTTCAGGCTCAAGTTATTTCGGATATAAGTCATTTCAAGTTCAGATCTTTTGTATTAGCCAGCTGAACTTTTTCAGATTGAACCATTTGAGTTCCAGTAATTTCGGATTCGGTGTAAGGTTCAATTGTTGCATTTGAGCTTTTGTTTTTTTCAATTTTTCTCTGTTTTGAGTTTAAGTTGAGGTTCTAATTGACGAATTTACGTTAGAATGGTTTGTTTAAGTTTTTAATGGCAGTTGTTATCCCATTAATTTGATACTGGTTGATGTGTTTTTGTTAAAATGTCGGAGGAAGTGAAGACATGGACCGGTTGATAACAACAGTGCCAGGCATGGAAACTTATCTCCGATGTCGAGATCTTCCGAGTTTTTGCCGAGCACCTGATATGGAAGATCCAATTATCAAACTTGTTGTTAAAGAGACACGAAGGAGCACTCAAGCTGACGCCTTGATACTAAACACTACCGAAGAGCTCGATGGGCCTATACTATCTCAAATATGCACCAAATGCCCTACCGTCTATGCCATTGGACCCATCAATGCTCAGTTAAACACCCGACTCAAGGCAGAACATAGAGAACCGCATGATCATTTCTCGAACACTCTTTGGGAAGAAGATGAAAGCTGCATTTCTTGGCTTGACAAGCAACCAAATCGATCCGTTATCTATGTAAGTTTTGGTAGCATTACGAGCATGTCAAGGGAGAAACTTGTAGAGCTTTGGTATGGACTTATTAATAGTAAAGCAAAGTTCTTGCTTGTTGTAAGGCCAAATTTTGTGACTGGAGATGAAGGGGAGGATGATGTTGTATGTGAGCTTTTGGAGAAGACTAAGGATCGAGGCTACACTGTCCATTGGGCACCACAAGAGGCGGTTTTGAACCACCCAGCCGTTGGGGGGTTCTTGACTCATAGCGGATGGAACTCCACATTGGAGAGCATTGTTGCTGGGGTACCTATGATTTGTTGGCCTTACTTTGCTGACCAACAAGTGAATAGTAGGGCTGTGAGTGAGGTGTGGAAAATTGGGTTGGATATGAAGGATGTTTGCGATAGGAAGACAGTGGAGAAAATGGTGAATGATGTGATGGTGGATCAGAAGGAGTTTTCAAAATCAGCAACCGAATTGTCTCAAGTAACCAATAGATCCGTTAGTGTCGGTGGGTCTTCGTATAATAATTTGGACCGTCTAGTTGAAGATATTCGAGTAATGTGCTTGAAAACCCCACAAAAGATGATGGCTTCATAAGGAAGAACTTTACCTACGGTAAGTAATTTTCTGGGTTGGATGATCTTTTAGTACAAATGTCATTGTCGATCGTTTTCATGATCCAACGGCAATTCATAATCAGTATTGATGATTATAAGTCACGTTTCAGTGTGAATTATGTATCTAATCTCTTACAGCGTATTAAAGTGCCTATTTTACCAAATCATAATAACACGATCCGATGGCTTCTGATATAATCAAACTCGATAAGAGTTTTTTTTTTTTTTTTGAAAGTAGGTCAATCAATTCACCTAGAGGCTTATTTTGGATTGCAAATGCCCCCAACCCCCAAAAGTTACCCTAGACTATGACATTCATGAGGGTCACATCTTTCATTTATTTGAAAAGATTTTGAGCACACTATGTGTTGACAACTACCTTGAATTCTTGATGCTTTGAATCTTTGCTAGCTGTTGCTTTCAAAACAATTTTCTATATGGATGAATTTGTAGAGTAGGCAAAATGGGTTTTTGCAATCCCATAAGAGTCAATAGAACCATTGAACATGATGTATAATATATGTTAATGGTGCTACTCTACAACCACACTCACTATATTTTATGGTGGAAATTAGATAAATTTCTCTTATTTTTGTAATTGTCGGTATCTTATTTATTTATTAATTAATCCACATCGAGTATTGTAGAAGTTTATTATGGAAGTGACTCTCTCAATCTAATTTGTCATTTACAACATTAAAATTTAAACTTTTAATCTTACTTAATAGACTTAGTGTTTCATTTTATTAGATCAACTTATGGTTAAATCTCTCTTTATTTAATATATTCTTTCAAATTCAACTTAGAAAACTTTAAATCAAATTATGTAATAATATTTAAATACTAACTATTAGCTAGTATAAAAGACGAGGTGTTAGGTCTTTCCGTAAAGTTAAAATGATCCAAATCAAGTTATAGGACCTTGAATCTCAAATTTTGTAATAGATATCTCAATTTATGGTACTATTTAAATTAGATATTTTAAAGATTCATTATGGGAATGATCCTTCTAGCTTAGTTTTTTTCATTTATAATGTCATGATTCGAATTACTAATCTTACTTATCTAACAACAAATCTCAATAATCCAGCTAGCAGTTGACTACTTTCATGATATTTTTAGTTGTTAGTTGTGACTATTAAAATGATGAAATGAAATTAAAATTAACTGAGTATTCGATTAACGTGTAAATTCATTGTTGGATGAATATAACTAATTGAAATTTCAAGTGACCCTAATTGTGTAATTGAATAACAATAAAAAGATTTGTGTCATCACTTTAATGGGTCTATCATGTCAAACTAATGTAAAGGGACTGAAACCATAATTAAACCAAAAAAGATGTTCATTAACTTATAAAGTCGTTGGCTTTGCTTTAGCTTAACATACTATGAATGGTGGTGTGCTAAATGATTAATAATCCATTCATAAACAAAACATTATTATTAATATTAATGTAAAAATATTCTCTAAAATTCATTGACTATAATCATTATTGTAATTAAGAGAATTGGATAAACCTTGTCTTATTTATTAAAAGAATAAATATTTCAGCCTTACTTAATTTGAAGATATTTTTTCCTTCCTAGTTCTCCGGAGTTTTATCCTGATTAATTCAGATCGGCTCGTACCCATATTTGACATTTAAAAATATATATTTGATATATCAAGAGTGTATAAATTCTATACATAATTACTCTATTAGATCATGACATATTATTATAAAATTTTAAAACCAAATTTATTTTACTTATTTTTATTGATGTCTATAGTCTTGGTGCATTAGCTCCTGAACATACGTATTTGTTTTTTTTAAATAAACTTATATAATTTATCTATTATTAATAATATAGTATATTAATAATTAATATGTATAAACTTAAATAAAAATAAATTAATATTTATCACTTTCCATGCTTCCATTATTACTACTTCACGTTGAAGCAAAGCATGCAAATTTCATCTTTGCTTTTCTGCTTTTACTTTTTATATGTGATTAAAGTAGTCTTATTTTGTTCGGTTAATTGAACTATACGTTCTCAAACTGTTTTTATATTCTAAATTGATTTATAAACTTTAAAGTATCTTAATCTAAACCAAAAGTATTAATATCGTATCAAGTGGATCCTTCATCTATGTCAGCCCCTTATGTATCAAAATTTTCCATGCTACACGTGGAAACACGTTTAAAAGTTAATTCAAGTGTTTTAAATTATTATATTCAAATTGAACCTAAATTAATTAGAATTTGAATCATATGAATGAAAAAATTGAATTAAAAGAATTCATTTCTTAGTAGATCATGATTAAAATATATATATTAACTTCAAAGGGTATACTACAAAAGAGGATAATGGATTTTTCTTCCTTTGCCCCCAAAATTTCAAAGACAAAATCCAATTCTCCCCATTAAATTCAAAAATAGAAAGTATAATTTATTACAACAAAGAACCATTTTCCCCCTATTTTTTGCTCTTATTTTTCTAAACTACACTCGCATTCTTGAATTCTTCCTAATACATACATACATAATAAAGCAAAATACCATATACCTAAATCCTACTATCACTGCTATCTTCCCAACGTAACAAACACTAGTATAAAAATCAGTAAGTCCATTCATGTGGTAGATTTAAGCTTCCTTCTTGTCTGTAATTTCTCCTTGCTTGTGTCAACAATGCATTTCTTGCTACCAATGCATCTGCAGAATTGGAACAATATGAATTTCAGTAAGCATGATGTCAATTATAACGTTGATTACGAACAAACCAGGCATGGGGGTATACCATAGTTTGATGTGGAGCTGGTATAGAATCGAGGCTGAACGTGACGGTTGTTGGTATCAGGGAAGTTGAGATTTAGTGCATGGACAACCTTTGCTGGAAGTAACACTGTCGAGCAACCTGATTTCATTCTAGGTTCAGTAGTGGTGATGGTGTTGCTGCTGTGTCTACGAGGGATGAAGACGCCGGTACCGGCACACTCGCGTTTAACGCCACCGGATCCATGAATGAACATGTGTCTCATGCCAGAACCAGGGTGGTTCTGAGGCTGCTTTGGTTGGGACTGAACTTGAATTGGTGGCCATGAAGATTGAGGCAACCCTAATGGCCTTCCCCAAACAACATTATTCCTTATCCTATCCTGTATCTGCTGTTGTTGTTGAACTTGTGCTTGCCAGTCACTTGCCTTCACTTGTCTTCCATTAAACTAACCAAAAACACAGAAAACAACCCAATGAGCCCTAAAACAAAAGAAATTGTAATAAATTCATTTTTAAAAAAAAATGAGATGCATCTGTTTAGAGTCTTCCTTAAACATCCATAAAATATGCAAAAATTGCTCGAACCCGAAATCTCTAAGAAGCTCGGTCCTCCCTTCTTTATTTAGCTTTAGCTGGTGAGGATACTCGAGTTCTAATAATTTCAACATGTAAGAAAAAGGGTTACCTGATTTGTCTGATTTTGAGCTTTGGGTAAGGCTCTTCCATGGCTGAAGTTGGTGTATTTGGGCACTTCATTGCTCATTCTGAACCTTGCAACTTGACCAGCTGCGGCATAAATGAGATCCCAAGTGTCGTTTTGAGCACAGAATGGTGTTGTTGGTGGAGATGGAACTTGAGAGGGTCCCATAGGGCTGTTGTTGCTTGAAGGTGACCAGCTCCCGAGTCCAGCCAGAGTCGACCTTGGTGAACTCGCAAAAGCTCCATTTTTCTAAATTTAAAAAAGAACCCCATATTTAAAACTCGAACCATCACTAAAACTCATCTCAAGAAAACAAAGGAAACTATTATACCTCGTTTTTTTCCAGGGAGAGAGTGGGAACAGTGAGTTTCTGACTCGTGAAGTGAGCGAGACGGCGATTCAATCCAGCGAGAAACTCATCCTCGTCACTGCTCTCAGTCTCTGTGGACTCAACAACGGATTCAACAGGGGAGTTCGAACTTGAAAAGGAGTCGAACGAGTCAAACTCGTAAGGGAACTCAGTGGGGAAACCATGACTAGATACCAACGACTCAGTACCGTTTTTTCTACCGTTTTCGTTCATAAGGTTCCCTTTCTTCATAATCCCATCGTCGTCCGCCAAAAACTTCGCCGGCAGCCAAAACTTGGCATCATCTATAAGCTCAGTCATGACCAAAAAACAGAGACAGGGGAGAACTGAGTGGAAAAGATTTGCTTGGCAGAGAAGATGTAAAAAGAGAGAGAGGGACCCTGATTTTATCAAGGAAAGAGAGATGAGTAAAGAATGCTGAAGACAAGCTGCTTTTATTAAGGTTTCAGGGTTATTTTGAGACATTAAACAAAAAAATAATTTTTAAAGAGGAAAATCAAGAAGATAAAAATAAACTTGGAAATAAAAAATTGAAGATATTTGGGCAAATTGACAATGTAAGATGTGAAGAACAAACGGAGAGGGATGGACCAGAAGTTGGAAACATTTGTCCTGTTTCACAACACACCTTAAATCTGTCCTGTTTTGATTATTTACCAACTTAATTAACAGTTAAGAGATTAAAGTTATGTTTTTTCATATTTTATTCATTGCTTTTGAAATTTTAAATTTGTTTTTGGTACCAATAGTTGCGGTTTCATCTGCGATAAATTTGATGTATTTAGTGGTTAAAAGATGTTAGATTTCCTTTCTTACAACATTTTTTTGGACAATACATCAAACCGAATGTATTTAGTGGTTAAAAGAGGACTTTTAATAAACTTGCACAAAACATGAATTATTTTTTAAATGAGATTGTTGAATTCTCCATTACTTACTAAGATTTATATATCTATCTTTCATTCTCTTTTTTTTTTTTTAAGACGATCATAATCTCATTTATTTCAAAAGCAAATCAAATGTCAAACTAATACTCCATCCATTCGAATTGAACTACTTCAGTGGTTAAATAGATGGTTGTTATTCTTTGGAGTCTCAAATTCGAGTACCAAAGATTGCATTGATAAAATACATGTATTGTCAAATGATTAAGAATCTTTAGAATATATATTACCGTGTAATCATCATATACTAATAATAAAATTTTAAAAAAACTAATACTCCATCCACGATAAAGAAAAACCCCTAGCATTTTGAGCCACATTTCTTCTTAAAAAAATATAATCTCGTTTACTCTTTTTTTTTATCTTTGATTGAGAGACGGTGTCTTTAGTTTTAGTGTTGGATGCCAATCAATGCTATTCTTTATTTTTTATTTACTTTCTTATCTCTCATCTTTGGTTTTCTTTGTTTTTTAATTAATAATAACTCTAATTTTATAATATACTTTCGTCTATCTTTATGACACAATTTTTTTTATCTTTTAACACGATTTGAGTATTCTTTATTGGTTGTTTGGTCATTCTTTTTATTTTTTTTCTTATTGTTTGATTTAACTTGGCCTTGATTGATCAATATAATGCTTATTTGTTATCATGATGATCTTCTTTGCTTTAGATTCTCATATTGAATTTGAATACGTTGTTTGCGTTTATATATAGTTTTCTCACGATACTGACTCTAATTTGTAGTTGTTGACGATCTTTCAGTAGTTTGATCCCCTATTTTGATTTTTTATATTTTTCATTGTTTGATCTATGTATGATCTCAAATGACTAATTTATTGTGTCAATGACTATAATAAAATGTCTTAATTATATGTTCAATTTATATTTATAACTGTAAACCTTCGTCATAATTTTGAATATTTATTTTTTTTAATAAAACTAAGTGTTTCTATTTTATGTAAAAAAAATACTAATACCCCAAGGACTTTATATAATTTTTTATTTTCTTAACTCGACTAATTAAATATCATTAATCAAAATTAAGAAAAAAATTAGGATTTATTTAGAGTTATAAGAAGTTAGCATCACTTACGAGAGTTATAGCTATAGATTCATGAAATATATTATTATAATTAAAAACTTGACACCTTAATATTATTAGATTGTGTCTTGATCAAGATGTGTGTGAAGAAAATATTTCACGTAAAAAAATATATTTAATGACCAAATACAGGTAGAATGATAAAGAAAATTATATAAATTTTTAAAAACCACACGCTTAATATTTGTACATTTAATCTTTAAATCCACACATTTTACAACAATTAAAAAAACCCCATTTGGATAAGCACACTTGCAATCATTGAAAAATTCAAAGTCATGTTGTTGCTATGTAATGTTGGAAAAGTCTCACGCAGGGCAACTTAGTATACAGTTAAAGAAATAAATTATCAGGAATATTATTATTTTTAATATTTTCGATAAAAAAGTATTTAAAACTTTATTATTTCTACCGGAAATATTATTACTGGATGATTTACTGGATTTGTTAGCATATCCGGTAAAACACTACTTAAAATATTATTTTTTTTCTACTAGAAATGTTAAAAAAATTAATATTTTAGGTAAATTTTTACCGAAAATATTAAAAAATAATAACATTTTCGGTAACATATTATTTTAGCCGTATGTTAAGACTGTCGAAGGTAGAATTTCCCAGTAACTTTTGGTCAGGTTGGGGCAATTACATATAACATACATGTCAAGTAAATAACTCTATATTTCAAACTCTTTTTTGGAATAGGAATGTAGCCTACAAGAGATGCACAATGAACCAAGACACCCTTTGCAATGTCCATTATTTTTCTTTTAATTTACATGTATAGATAGATCAAAATATTTTAAAAAACGATAATAAAATTATTAGGAAATATAATATTCTTTTTTTATGATTGAGGTTATTTGTTGAATTTGCGTGTGAGTATATTTTTTTTCTTTAGGGTTTTGCATGCAGGAGGACATTGTGACAGCCTACAATTACATGGGCACTGATCAGCCGCATTTTATGGCCACTAATTAAAGCAGGAAGCATCATCATTAAGCCATCCCTCCATGCATTATTTTGTATAATTAGGTTTCCCTTCTTTTTCAATAATTCAATTTAAATTTTAATAGATGTTATCACTATTATATATTTTGATTGTATTATTATATTGAAAGATTATGTGTTTAAATATTAATTATAAAGTACGAATTAATTTATCTTAGTAGTTAAAATAAATCATAATTATTTTTAGAGGTCAGGTCTCGAGTTCGAACACTAGTAATTACAAGGGTGATTGAGAGTTTATTGTCAAATAGTTGCGAATACTTATAACAAATATTATTTTGTAATCACTTTTAGCTTAATAAAAAAATATTAATTCAAAACACATAACGAAAAATTAAAATAGTTTGCAGAAAAAAAATCACATTTTAAGCAGGTCTAGTTTTATGTTATAGTCATTCCATAACGTTTGAGTTGGGATTTACTTATTTCAGGGTTAAACATCTACATATTGTATAAACAAATAATTATATTTAATTAATATGGAAATAAAAGGATGTATTTATTTTGAAGAATGTTTATAATTAATAAAAATTAAAGTTTTATGTGTATAATTAAAGTAAAAGCATAGTTTTGTATGTATGATTGCATAAAATGGAAGTTCTTGTATCACATTACATATTCAATTAGAGTTTATGTATAGTTTTAATATTTATCCTTTTATTTTGCTTTAAATTTTATACAATTTGATCCTTTAAATTAAATAATATTATTAATAAACTTATACTGATGACACATTAATTATTTATGTTAAAGTGATAACATAAATTTTATTTTATCATTACTTTATCACATAATTAGAGTCATGAAAAAATTCAATTAATCATATTGAACTAATAAGAAATTTTAAACGTTTAAGTATTACTAAATCATGTTAATAATAAATGATTTATGTTGCTCAAATCTTTACTAATGATTTATGTTAATAATAAATTATTTATGTTAATAATTAGAGTTTAATTATTATGATGTTAATAATAAGTTTGTTTGAATTGTCTACCGGTCAACCCATAATCTAAGTACACGAAATCCACGTAAACTCACCGGTGAGAAAATCAAAATCCCTATCGCGGAGAAACGACAGGACCTGAATATAGGATGACGTGGCACCAGTGAAGATTCGGCAGCCTAAAACCGCACAATAGTTTCAGAAAGGTTCAAGCGCCGTCGTGACGGCGCGTTACCGTCACGGACTTCAAAACAACTATCAAATTGGGTTCAGCGAATTTCACGCCAAATGAAGCAAATTGTAAAATGAAATAATAAATTAAATTAAAGAAAAAGGGTATGGTGTATGTGGATCCAATAGCTGAAAATGACAGCGTCCTTGGTCAAAAGGCGGGAGTTTGGAGAAAATTATTAAAATCTATTTATTTTTATTATAATTAGATTGATTTTAATTTTTTAAACAATATAATTATACGGAAAAAATTCACTTTTTTAAGAATGCAAAAGTAAATAATACATTCGTCAATAATAGAGGAAGTTTTTCATCCTAATAAAGTTATAATAAAAATAAAGTAAAATCGTCGATAACTATTGATGATTTTATTAAAACTTTTAGTTGTCGCCAACTTCACTATAGAATGAAATATTCACCTATTCTCTTAAATAATTTTTCATAATTTATATTTTCTAAATTTATTTTAATCCGTAATTTATTGTTAAAATATGATGATCTAATATATTTAAAGATTAAAGTATATCACGAACCAAGTGATTTAATAGTTAAGAGATTTTTGTTATCTCTTGAAGTTTCGAATTTAAATATTGTATATGTATGGATATGATTGTTCATTATAAAATTATTAATTTTTTTAAATAAATAATACTTTGTATTTATTTTAAATTTATCAAAAAAAAAATATTGAGTTATCGGTTTAGAAGTAATATTGATTTTTTTTTTATATTTTAGTTTCTAACATCTAAATGAATATTTTAATAATTATTTTTTGTTTAAATTTTGATTATGTAGAAAAATATATTTAATAAACAATAATATAAAAATACTTTTAATTTAGATATTTAAATTTAAAATGATTGGTTTATTCTGTATCCTTTGATGTTATATAGTTTGTTTCTGTATATTATTTTTCTGATTATCGGAGGTCTTCTACGGAATCTGTTCATAACCTAACGTTAGAATCAGTCTATTACCTTACCTCCCCTTTACTCCAATACATATGAGAATAGGATTTTGTTGTTGTTATTGTTGCGGGAGAGGGAGAGGGAGAGGGAGAGGGAGAGGAGAGAGAAAGTTTTCCACTCATTACGGTTACTTTACTTCTGCTTCCCGCAAAATAAAAATTCGAATTTTCCGCCGAAAAAAGTGTTTGATATATCCTTTCAACTGTCTCTATC